GGTGGCAGCCCCGGGGGTTGCGGGGGCCGGCGGGGCGGGGGGGTTTTTGTATCCGATAGGATCCCGGCCCGGGAAGGGAGCTGGGCCCGGGGCGGGCAGGACGGCCGGCCGAGGCTGTGGGCTGCACCCGCGATGCTGGCAAGGCCCTGGGCTCTGTCGTTCCCCCCTCCCCGGGCTGGGGTGCCCTCTGGAGGCATGAGCCAGGGCCCGGGGGCTGCTGCTCTCTTCCTCGGTGTGGCGGCCTGTGTCAGCACCGTCCCGAAGCACTGGGCTGCTGTTGGCCGGCATGGCTGGCAGGCTTTGCTGCGGTGCTGCCTCTGCAGTGCGAGCAGGCTCGTGGCCGCGGTTTAGAGTGACCGGGGTCTCTCTTTTCCTCACAGGCTGCACGAAGCCGCACAGAGCCTGTTTGAGTGAGCCCAGGATGGCAGAGTCCGGTGGGGACCTGCTCATCCAGAGAGACACCATCCTGTCCCAGTTGTGCTGTGATCACATCACCGTAACAAACCTGTGAGTCTGTCTGGTGTGCTGTAAGGGTCAGTATGTTTGGCTACTAATGCTGTTAAGGCTAAAACATCTCCTCAGGAGCAAAATTTTTCCTTTCTGCTTAACTGCCCTCAAATAAGAGATACCCTAAATCACAGCCAGTGATGGACACTTATACTGCCATCTGAAAACAGCTGTTTTAGTCAGTTATGTGCTTCAGTGTCTCTTTTGGGTTGTAGTCATTACTTTTCATGTGTTATAAAACTAAGTGGAAGAATGTATGATTTTCAGATGATTATTTCCCATTTAGGGCTTACACTGAATGCAATGTTTTCAAAAGCAGTTATCAGATCCCTTTTGTCAAAGACAGCCAGTGTTTACATGGAATGTAGCACTCGGTCTGTCGAATTCTTCAGAATTCGAATTCTCTATGTTTTAATGCCTCAAAATCTGTCCCTAACTATGAATATGACCTTTTGAAAACAGAACTCTTTGGTATCCATGGTCTTAGTACTTTGCAGCACTTAGTACTTGCAATGCATAACTATTTTTATATTTTTTAGCTGCATTTAATACTGTTCATTTAGTAATGGTTTACTGCACATGCAAATTACAGTTTTATCTTTTTAAAACCAGTCTTCTGTTCTACAGAATAAGGTTGGCAATATGAGTGTGGAAACTGGGTAAATATAGTGTGCCTGCCTTATTCGGCTGTGTGTTGTTCTTTTGCCAGAAATCCGGGAATATCTGCAGACTTTTGTGCCAGCATGAGTTTGTGTCAGATTTAGAACTCAGTTCTGCAGCTTTGGATGATTCAGAGGGAAGGAATTATTTTTAAAGCTCATTTTAAAACTACATTTCCAGTATCTTGATGGAAATGTTTGTTTTCTAGGGTGGAAGTGCTGAGCTCTTTGGTGGCTTTAACTGACCCTCAGGAGGGGAAGCTGACTCAGTCTCAAGAGAAAGTGAGTGACTAACAGACTTTCCATGTCTGTTTACTGCATCGTTTCAGAAGAACCTATAATTAGGTAGCTGAGCTTATTCTAATAATATATTAGAACTGTTTCTGTAACTCATGTTTTTGTGAGTTGAACTGAAGTGTGTGTTTGCTAGGTCTGTTTCTGATTGCCTGGCAAGCAGTAGTGTGATCATCAACCGCCTCGGTTCCGCAAGGTTCCCTTCAAGCAGGTGGCAGAGTGAATCAGGTGTTCCAGCCGCTGCTGGAAGTCAGGCTTCAGATCACACTGTCTTTTTACTGACTGAAGGGCCAGCTCTTACAGACCCTTAGTTGCACCCTCCCCTTGTTTCTATGCACAAGCATGGCATGTGCGATTAGTTTTCTTCATCCAGTGGGACTGATGTCTTGAGCTGGCTCATTTTCTGATTCCAGGAATCTAGTAATGACATGAGAGCTTAAACCCAAGGAAGGAGTGGAGCTTGTACTTTATATCGCTTTAAAGCAATCCTGAAACTGTAGCCCTGTTATTTTTGTGGCTTCTTTGGCACTGACCTTAATTAGTAATAGTGTCCTTTATAACAGGCAGAATGTAATGATTATTGGGACAGGAGGTACAGTGGCTAATGCAATAAAGGATTGTAATGTCCAAAAGAAAGTGTGGGAGATTAGGATGTGGTTTTGTGGATTTATACAGTGTGATAAATGCAGGGTGTAATTTGGAGAGGTCATTGCTGTCTCTTGGAAGATGTGTAAGACAGTTACGGGGTATTCAGATTTGCTCAGAAACTTTATGTTCATCTTTTAGTAATTGGACCTGCTGTAACCTTTAATGAAATTTGGTGTGCAACGCTATTTTTAATTACTTCATATTCTTGTATTGAGCCTTGTGTAAGTCTTTAATTTTAATGTGCATTCATTTCTTAAATAATGTTTTTATTTCAAGCAAAATTGCTTAGGAATCCCTGAAGTACAGCTGCCTGTTATATTGCAGTAATAATTATTTCGCATGGCACATAATGATAGTCTCATACTTGGTTCTCATTTCACAGTTGAATTTTTGTGCTCCTTTGTATTCTAGGCACTAAACTCGCTGGGGATTTGGAAAACCGTATTTGCAGCTGTTCCTGGGCCTGCGTCAAAGACCTCAGTGGAGTGACAGCTCGAAGATGGGAGATCAGGATGCAGGTGAACCCTTTCTGGGGATAGTGACTGGTGGTGCCCCAGACTACGAAGGAGCTCTGCCCTCAGACACAGTGTCGCTCAGTGATTCTGATTCCGATGATTTGGGGTTAGCGGATGAAGCGGAAGTTGATACAATATCTCCTGAGGAGCCATCTGTAGACGATGGGGATTACAGATCAGGGGAGACCCCCGACTCTTCAACCAGCAGTCACAGATCTCCTGTCCAGCCATTCCATCTGAGGGGCATGAGTTCTACCTTCTCTCTCCGTAGCCAGAGCATTTTTGATTGCCTGGAAGAGGCGGCCAAGTTGTCTGTGCCCTCGATGCCTGAAGATAATGTTGTTGATGGGCGATTTAAGCGTCCATTGCCACCAACCGCAGTTTCAGGTAACAGGGTTCCAGAAGGCCTGGGAAAGCAAGCCAAACCAGCGCAGGCTCCTAAAACCTCTCCTGCAGTGCCTGACTATGTGGCACACCCAGAGCGCTGGACCAAATACAGCCTAGATGGAGTTTCAGAGTCTAGTGACAAGACTAACAGGGCAGTGGCCATGGAATTTCTAGAGGGTTTGAAGAAAAGAGGGGAGGAGCAAAGCTCAGCTGCCCAAGATAGCTACACCCCGTGCTTCAACCAGGACCCTTCCAGCTGTGGAGCTGGGAGGATTGTCTTCACCAAACCAGCAAAAAGGGGTGTTGATGGACTGGAAAAGAAAACATCAGCAGGGGAGGATGATAAGAAACACATGAAAACAGATCTGAAAGGAAAATCTCTTAAGAAGACTGATGACTTGAGGGAGGAAGATAAGGTAGAGCTGGGGCACTTAGCTAGTGGAAGTGGAAAGGCAACGGAGGAGGAGTGCGTGATGGTGGGGGACCTGAATACAGAAGGTAAGCTTAGTGCAAGGTTTAGTGGCGCAGGTGAAGAGCCATCCATGGAAACAGTTGGATTCCATTGTAGTAAGAAGAAGAATAGGAAAAATTTCCGACCTAAAGTAGATGATGAAGGGGAGGAAGAAGAGTCCTGAAGGATGGAGCGCGTTGGAGACATCCAAGGACTTGTATTGTCTTTGGCTATGTTTGGGTTTTTCTCTTGACTCTTTTTTTCTGGTCTGGAAACCATGCGATAGTTTTTCATCTAACGGTTTGCATTGTAACCACGAGGAACATTTTCTATTGTTAGAAATTAAGGTACCTAAAATACACCCCAAACTTTTTGTTCGTGAGAAGTCTGTGGGCACAGGATAGTTGCACCCTAGCAGGAGAGAATAATGTGTGCTTTGTCTGCTTGAGCAGCTCCCTGGGGCTTGCTCTGGAGCTGAAGTAGCCAAAGAAAAAAGATGTGTTACATAAAGGGCTGCAAGCCTTCCTACTAACTCCCAAATTTAGGGCTGTTCCCAAATCCTGTAGAATTCTGGAACAAAGATGATGAGCTCATTATGTAGAGAATTTTAAACAATGAAAATAAAACCTAGTCTTCCACTAGATGTGATTTCTCCTGGCCCTGTCCCAGGGATGAAATTTTTTTTTTTTTTAAATACGTCGTTCTCTCATTGCCATTGAGAATGAAAGCACAACGGTGCCCAGTCATGAGTTTGGAGGGCCCAGGTGAAAACTGGCAAAACCAATTTTTTTTTAAGGTTGGCTTAATATTTACCTTATTTAGTGTTACATGATAAAAATTTTTAAAACCACAGTGTTTCCTGTGGAGAGGTACAACTCTGGATACATCCTGGTGAAGATGTGCTCAGGGTGGCTTCAGCGAAGTCTCACCGCGTTGAGTGTAGGTCAGAATTCACAACAGCTCCAGTTGTTATGTTGGGCAGCAGCTTTCCCTCTTACTGGTATGATAGGATGTGATGAATCTTAGCCTGCACATTTGTATGTCTTTTCCAGGTGGCACTGCTTCCACACTGATTCTGTGTGTGGATTTGGTGGGAATGAGGTATTTATACCAGAACTGGATACTTTTTTGTTCTTTGGGATTCAATAAACTTTCAGTTGTAGCTTGATGTCTTCATCTCTTTGAGCCATGCTGATTAATGCAGCTGTAGGAGTTTTAACAAATATTCAGTTTATTTGATTTGAGAATTGTTGTGAAAATCTTGTAGTTTTCTTAAATGTTACTCTAAGCTTACCGTCTTGTAACTTCTCCCTCAAGTCTTCTATTTTACATTCTAAAATTCACATTTTTAATATTTTTCAGTCATTTTACAATATATAGAGAATCACCTCATAGGATGAATCACCTCATACAATGAAGCACATTGTAATGAATGTCGAATATAGTAGTTTTTCACACAGAACGTTAGTAAATTTTATAAATAAGGTTGAGAGATTAAATTCTTTAAAAGGTTATATGATTTGAAACTCGAATTAGTTCAGGTCAGTTTGGACTGACATTTTTTTGCCAGTATTCTAAATTAACCAACCCCAATGTTACTATTTATAACCATGTAGTGAAAGACTACTTCAGAATTTGTGATCTTTCTTGCTAGACTGTGCTTGCTCAGACTCTGAAGGATATTTGAGGAGGTTACTTCCTCTGTGGGGGTGTCAGCATCTTACCAATAATTGACTGGTAGGCCCAAATCATTTGGGTCTTTATGTTTGAACAGACGCATCATTTGGCAGCAGAAGCAGAAAACAATGTAAAATGACTAATATTGCTCCATCTTTTGAAATTCACCTTTTAATTTTAAAAGCAGAATGTATTTTCTCAAGAATATACGATTTGATGTGCATTAACTAATGGGTCATTGCTAAATACATCAGTTGTTCTCGTGCATGTGCGTGGGACATAACAATTCCAAAAGGATAGATTTTGGTTTCCAGTGGATATTTAATGTGCTGAGCACAATTAAAATAGTAGCCGTTCCAGAATGGAAGCTGCTGCCGAGAGCAGGGCATGCTGGTTGTAAGATATGCACTATTTCCGAGCAAAAAATGTAGCTCAGTACAGACTTACTGGTTTTATAACTTCTGCTTGCCTAGGGTGAAAAACAGGTAGGACAGTACCAAAATTCCATCACTGTGAATGGGGTCACTGAGGTCTGGGGCACAGTTGAATAAACTGGACAAATGCCTATTTTATGAAGACATCATAACAAGATTAATATCTGTTAATAAAAGACTCATGTTGGAAAGGTATTTTTATCAGATCTGAGATTTTTTTTCCGTCTCTAGTAACAGAAAGTTTTTTGCAACCTGCGTTTATGTTGCATAGAAGCAGTGTTATATGCATGAGGAAACTAAGTTCAATTGAAGCTTATCAATCAGTGTAAGAAAGACCACAACCCAATACTTCCCCCTTCTGATGCTGTTTATATTATTCCAAATAAATTTCCCTTCAAAGGATGGTAGTAATAGTCATTTTATTGGCGTATCTTTTCATACAAAATTCTAATAAAGCCAGCTAGCTTTTGTATGCTAAAAACGTACATGCCAGTTTAAGTATTGGAAAAAATTACAAACAGTCCAAATTCCTAGTTTGTAGGAAAATTCTTGCTACACATTCTTGCTTTAAAGTCTCTAAGTGATTTTTTTTTTCCTGACCTTTGAGAGAGAAAAGTAAAATGAAATCAGAAAACCACTTAGGTGTAGATGCGGTGTTCCATGTGGTGCGATACTTAAAGGCAAACTCTCCTTTAACGGCAGCAAGCTGACAGCAGCTGTGATCCGGCATTGAAACAAAAAAGCAAGCAGCAGAGGCTGGGGTCTGACGGCAGGAGGGTCACCTGCTTTGAGTTTGGAAAGTGACTGCAAGCCACCGCATGCTTGAGGACCACGCAATGAGATTCCAGTTTCTGGGGATGAGTGAGGAGCCCTCAGTAAGGAATACCAACAAAGGAATACCGCACAGAAGCCAGCGTGGGAAGAGAAGATGTGAGTGCGATCGTTTGAGGGTTGTAAGAACTCCAGGAAATGTATGGATTGTAATAGTTCAGTATCCCAGGCCCTTTCCTGTGGAAACTATTTCTTGATTTCCTTTCTGAGCAACTCAGAAATACAAGCTTGCTTTCTTGGCCAAGGAAGTGGCTTGTGTTTTAGTGCGTAAATGATTGCCCTTCCAAAAGGAGACTTCCTCGAACAGAGAAACGTGGAAATTAGCAATGATGATGATGGACTGAGAGTGTGGTATTTGGAGAACAGGGGCAGATCGTATTTAGAAAATAAGGTGGTGGAGTCATCCTGGAGGAGAAAGTTTTTAATCCGATTTGTAGAATGGAGTTTTGGAGAAAGGACCAAGCAATACAGGAGCAGGAAGAAAGAAAGCCCAAGAAACTGAAGGAGGAAGACCAAGAAATCCTCAGTAGTGTCAGACATTGACAGTACTTGGCATAAAGGCTTTTGAGAGCTGCGCTTAGGCCTTCATGAGATTAGGATTTTACTTCTACAGTAGTTCAGTAGGACAAAAGGTTTATGAAGAAATGAGAATAAAAATTAATTATCAATGTATGTGATGTCAGTCTCGGACTGATCTGCACACTCTTCTCGTTCACTCCTTTCTGGCAAAGGCACTTCTGTGTTGGCGTTCATCACACCTAATAGGATTGTAAAAGCCATGTGCTTGTTCAAAAGCTTTAGGACAAGGGGCACATAATAGTAATTGCTTAAGAAACTTTAAAATGTTGAAAATAATCCACAATAAAAAGATACTGTAGATTCTATTACTTTGCATTTGCTCAGTAAATGATAAAAACAGGTTTCTTCTTTATTTTTGAGCTATTTAAGTTTCTGATTTTTATGCAGTTACAGTATTAAAATGTCTGGGGAACGTGCTACAGGATGGTTTTTCTTACTGGAGTGTTGATAATGAAGCAATTTACATATGTGTTTTGTAAGCTTCTAACAGAATTAAGTCAAGTTTGAGGTTCGAGTCTTGAGTGACTGGAGGTCTTGTCATGTCATGACTTTGCTGAGTTTCCAGCTACTTCTTTTTTCCCATGTAGTATATAAGTTCAGTTTATGGGTTTTGGAGGGCTTTTTGTGTAATAGATAGTAATAGGTAGATATTGAAATAGATCATTAAGAAGAATATCCAAAATCTTTATTGTGTTGGATATCCTGCGGTGGCTGAGAAATAGTCTGTTTCTGTCTCTAATGCTTTAGACTCCAAACAGTGGAGCCCTGGGACACAGGACAAGATTCTTAACTGACAGAAATAGTTGCAGCTCTGAAGGCAAATGAGCTGTGTTGATTAAAACAAAGTAGGAGGCTGGCTCAATTTTTATTTTTAATGATTATTGTTATCCACATTAAATGTTTTGGTAATACTTCGGTAGTACTATCTCATTGACTCAAGAAACCCCCAAGACAATCCTCTCAAGAAACCCTGTGGCAAATAGATCCTTATTTACATGCTTAAAGTTGGGTGAGATTATTCTAACTCACACTAAGCAACAGTCCTTTCCCCAAAGCTTTTAAATATATTTTGCAAAAGGTAATTTTTTCATTCTGAAGTACGAATATTCTGTTCCTTGTTTATGTTCCCATTACCTCTAGGTACCTCCTTATGTGGTTCTTTTCCAGTCTTTTTTTTTTTTTTTTTTTTTTTTTTTTTTTTTTTTTTTTTCCTTGCATTTTTTAAACTAAATTGTTCAGCTGTATGAATTAGGTTTTCCGTGATTGTTTTCAATACTTACATGTATAGTTTGGAGCTGGTTGGTTGCACAAGAGGTTGGTTTTGGTTAAAACCTCTGCCATTGAGGAGATGACAGCTGTACAGTAGCAGATCTACAAAATAGGTAGCGATTTCTACATCAGCTAAATTTTGTAGTACTTTATCTATTCTTAAATTTGCGAGAAAGATAATCTAGGCAGCAGGCTGAAGCAGCATCAGAGATACCACATATTTGTTTATTTTTTTTTTAAAGAAATAGTTGAACTGTCTTGGAGGAAGATTTGTATTAAATACCTTCCCTTTTTTGTGAGTATATTGCATTATCTCAAGCTGGCACAAATTTATTAAAGCATTTCTCGTGTGTTCCGGTTGGACCTGTATTTGGTGTCAACATTGTTCATGGAA